CAAAATAACTACAAAAAAATAAAAATAACACTAATTTTAAAATAACGCTAATTTTAATGACACTAACGCTGTTAGCTAAACCATAAACCAAAATCAAAATCTTAAACCAAAACCCATGCCCTAAAACCCAAACCTAAATCCTAAATCCGAACCCTATACTCTAAATCTAAACCATATACCCTAAAACATAAACCCTAGACCCTAAACCCAAACTCTATACCCAAAACCCTAGATCCTAAATTCTAAACCCTAAACTTTAGACCCTAAATCCTAAACCCAAACTTCAAACCCTGAATTCAAACCTTATAGTCTAAATCTAAGCTCTAGACCATAAATCATGAATCCAAACCGTAAATGTTGTAACCACTTACTTACATGAGATAGTTTTGTATGCTTGACTCATCACCGCTAAATCCTACAAGGAGGACCTTTTCATTGTATTCACCAAGAAAATGCTTAAGGAGGTCCCCCTCCCCCATAATATTTGATCAGTGAAAGCATAGCCTCCATACACCACCATGTCCTGTAACGGTGCCTCTCCACTACCTAGTGATAGCAACATTACTTTCAGAAGCATCACTTACAAAGACCTTTTCACAGCTTATGGGGGTAAACCTAAATAGTTCAGGTTGAACAAGAACAATGCACACATTCAACAAGAGAAAGAGCCAGTTATGTTGCTCTGCACATACTCTAAGCTAGATCTCAAAATATTCTCACCGTCCGTACATAACCCACCAGAGGCAGTTCCGACAACTTAATTGCATAACGGCCTTGGGATCCTACACTAAAAGGCAGACCATGACTAACCCAAAGTTCTTAGGGTGGGGTTCTTACCGGAAGTTAAGAAATTGTTTCTTAATTTTTAACTAAAAAAGCTAAGAACCAGTTCTTAAAATCCTTATTTAAGAACAATTCTTAGATTTTTAGTTAAAAATTAAGAAACAATTTTTTAACTTCCGCTAAGAACCCCATCCTAAGAACCCCGGGTTAATCATGCTCTTAGATTGTTACTGTATAAGGTAACATTTTCATATAACATGAGCAGGTTCTAGGGGGATCGGTACTCATCAATCATCATTACAATCATAATGAACTCAGAACAGATCAAACTATGGCACAAGGAAGATTCATTCTCTTTCTATTGAAAACACCCAAAATCACATCGACAAAGAAGAAAAATTACGTTGAATCTTCTATACCAATTTATTGTGACGGATGTGAGAAGAAACATATTAACAAATTGATACGCAAAAAGAAAGACATAAAGATTTAAAATCGCATAAAGAGATTTTCCATATTGATGGAGGAAAATTTTAGCCTCAACTTTCTTACTACACATTAGGGTTAAAACCCTACAGATTATTTTAAAAAAAAATGTTTAATGAATTTTTCATATTTTTCTAGGATTTGGACAAGGATCTGTGCCAACAATCGATTGATCTGTGACTCTTGATCGACCGATCGACGCCATTCGATCAAATTCAAGGCATATTCAACACACCTTTACACCAACAAATCTGGTCCATCAAGGCTGGGATCAAGAACATGCATCTTCAAAACAGAAAAAAGACATGCATTTGTCAAAACTCAATTAAAAGAACCGTAGGTCATCAGTCAACCACATGAGCTTTAATTTCAGTCTTTAATTTTAGTTTCGACAAATAATACACATCAGGTAATAATCCTCGCTTTGAGCAGGATGTGATTATTAGTTTCGTTATTTCTATAAGGAGATACTAAATCTGTTTAATTTGGATATCATTTTGATTTTAGGTTGGTTTTCTTGAGTTTTAATCTCCTAAAATGTAACTCATTTCAAATCAAATTTATTTTGGTTTGTTTCAATGAAAATGTTTAATGTTTTTAGTTTTTATGGTGATAAAGAAAATCTATTATTATTCTTTTGGTTTCATGTTATATGAATTTTAGATAGATCTGACGTCGAACCAATGATTTCATATTACAGTTTCTAAACGAATAATATTTGAAGATAAAGAAAATAAAAGTATTAAGACAAATCATTTTATTACAATTTGGTCAATAGTGAAAGAAGCATTAAGAAAAAAAATATTTCAACTTTCAATAGAATTAGATACTTCACTTGTGGTGAATAATTAGTTATATAGGTACTCACGTCAATGCGCATATGTATATGTATGTAAAAGTATATAAAAGTGGCTGATAAATGTATAAAAATATTTTTAATTAATATTATAACATATTTTTGCTTAAAATAACACATGAAAGATAAAAAAAATTAAATAAAATTAATTAAAATAAAATAGGCCTAGACATTACTGATTTTTTCATATAAATAAAATCAAATTATATCCGTGAACAATAAATAAATATATAATTGGGCTTGCTGTATTTTATTTCTAGTGTATTGTGTTGTATCTTGATTTCAATCAGTCCTTAATATTAATCATTTATGGAAACAAATATTTACAGTTGGTCCTGCAAAAAAAAACCTAAGATTCTAAAACGTGTACACACATTTATAACAAAAAAGAATAGTTATGTATTAACCATCATCAACCGGAAATTCAAAGGGGTTGAGGGTTTCGTTCGCAAGAATTGATCTATTCACTCGAGCATTTCGAATCCATCACTGAAATTATTTCTATTTTCTACATTATTTCACTTGATTCTTCCTTCGCGAAAGTGTATGTGAGTTTAGTATTGATAAAAAAACATTGAAGTATATTGTATAAGAGAGTTTGAAATGTTTATGAAGAAGAAGATCTATCAATTAGTTTCTTGTAAATTATATTTTTATATGGAACCTTTGTATAATCTATAGAATCCTACATGTGAATTTTATATTGAAAAAAACGTAAAATACAAATTGTGAACACATTTATGTAGAGTTTGGCTGAGAAACACTCTATATGTGACACGTCAGCATATTCATTCTCAAATCGTTGTGAGGTTGCCACTTGTACATTATAGTCTAAACGTATGTATTACAATGTTTTTTTTTTAATATATAAGGGACTTTGTTTTGCAACTTATATCTGCATGTTATCTCTAGATTTTATATAATATATATAAACTTAAAACTTTTAATGTGGAAGGTTTAATTTTAGTCTCTAATTTTAGTTTTGATAAATAATACACATTTTGTTTTGCAAGTTATCCTAGCTTGTTTTCCCAGATTTTATAAAATACTCCTTTCGTTTAATTTTCATTTTAGATTTGTGCGCATAGATTAAGAATACATTCAATTTTGTATATTTTATAAATAAAAACATCATTAGCTATACATCTAATCGTATTTCAACCAATAGAAAAATAAATCATATAATATAAAGAGTCATAATCATATAAAAGTAATAAATTTTTTATTAGAACTCGAAAACAAAAAATTATTTTGTAACAAAATTTTATTCTACAACGATAATTAGACTGAAGCGGAGGCCTTATTAAATTTCATAGTGTAACGGTTTATGAGTAATTTTTTTTGTTTTAGGCGTACAACAACACAGGGCTGACCTGGTTATCTCTAATATGTTTAAATCACAAATTAGAAAATAGATCCTTAAAGAGTATAAACTGACTGGTTATCTCCAATATGTTTCAAAAACATAAATTTCCTTAACCATAGAAAACATTACAAGAAGTCTCATATGATTCCAAAAATGGCCACAAACAGATACATGATTTCTCAAACACCTCCACTACCTATGAAAAAGTTGGTGGGACAAGAAGAATTGGGAATTGAGGATTTCATTCAACGATCTCATTCGTATAAATACACAACTTTTGCAGAGTTTCTCCACAGATGAATGATCATCAATCTGCTTGGATATTAATGTACATCTGGAAGGGACAAAACAATAATATCTTCAGTAATATAGATATTGACCTCATGGACACTTCAAAATTGGTAGAAGCATAATCTCTACTCTGGACCGAGGCACATATTTCATTGACACAAAGGATTCCTCAAATATAGAGGTTGATGTCGTTACCTTACCAACGATACCAGGTAGATAGTGTTTCACGGGTGGCTCATGGAAAGATCAAGAAACTTTTTCAAGATAAGTTGGTATAGTACTTTAAAAAGTTTTGATGGTTTTATGGGAGCAAGGATTACAAGAGCGAGTCTGTCACACCTTCACTCTCAATTGGAAGCACTCATTTGAGCAATGGAATGTATGCATAATTTACGCCAGATTCAAGTTACATTTGCAACATATTGCAAAAAGTTTTGATGGTTTTATGGGAGCAAGGATTACAAGAGCGAGTCTGTCACACCTTCACTCTCAATTGGAAGCACTCATTTGAGCAATGGAATGTATGCATAATTTACGCCAGATTCAAGTTACATTTGCAACATATTGGTCTAAGATGACGGAACACAGAATTCACGGACGAATAGCCTTGCACGCAATATCCGGAAACATTCATTGTTTGTCATATAGATGTGGAGTTACCGATTTGGTTTGCAAAGTCTTCATATGTTTCGGATGATGTCAAAAAAAAAAAATACACAACTATATTTGCTATTTTCAACTTAATACACAATTCTCTGAATAAGGGAAACAAATTAAAATACGATTAAACTAATAAGGGAAACAATATACAATCAAAATAAGTTTGCTATTTAATTTCTTTAGATAGACTCGTTAACATCATTAGCGGCACACTAGACATTGTTAAACAATTAATCTAAATCGTTTAGTACTAAATCATGTGTATTAGGAAAGATCCACATCTTAAGAAAATGTATATATAAAGTTGACCTAAAAAAAGAAAATATATAATATGACTTCTTATTATTAAATCAAGGAGTGGTCGTCCGAGGAAACACTAGCACGATCCCACCAGCCTTGTACTTCCATGCATGCCAGCCAGTTTTCACGTGTTCATATTCGTTGAGTCGTATTTAAATATATACATGTAATGGAGGCTAATATGTCTGCGTATCAAACAACTATAAATTAACGTTTGACAAAAAGAAGAGAACATAACCAAAACATATAACTGAAAGCATGGACCTCAAGTTTAGGGCTTTTACGCCAAGCTTCTTCTTCTCCTTTTTGATTATCATCTTCCTTATAAAAAAACCAGATTTGGGATCAGCATCTAATCCTAAATGTATATCCACAGAGCGCCAAGCTCTTCAAACCTTCAAACAATCACTTACTGATCCATCTGGTCGACTCTCTTCTTGGTCCGGACCTGACTGCTGCAAATGGCCGGGTGTTCGCTGCGACCGCAGAACCAGCCACGTCATCAAGATTGATCTCAGAAACAGGAATCAAACCGTTTACCCTGATGAATTTAAACAGAATTGCTTGGGGGGTAAGATACATCCATCTTTGACCCATCTCAAGTTCTTGAGCTATCTCGACTTGAGTTCAAATGATTTCAACGGCCTGGAGATCCCTGAGTTCATCGGCCACATGGTTAGTCTAAGGTACCTGAATCTTTCTTTCTCATCGTTTTCCGGTGAAGTTCCTGCGAGTCTTGGGAATTTGTCGAAGCTGGAGTCTCTTGATCTGAACATTGGATCATGGCCTTCCTTTGATATGCGCGCAAGCAGCCTCAGGTGGCTTTCGGGTCTGCCTCGTTCACTGACTTACCTAAACATGGGGTATGTGAGTCTGAGCGGTGCCGGTGAAACCTGGTTAGAGGATTTCAGTAACTCTCGAAGCTGAAGGAGTTGCATTTGATCAACTGTGAGCTCAATAAATTACCTCTTTCTTCGTCTTTGTCTTCGTCCGCGAATCTGAAGCTCCTTGAAGTTCTTGAGTTGTCTGAAAACTCTTTCAATTCACCGATACCCAACTGGCTATTTGATCTCACCAGCCTCAGAAAGCTATCCCTCCAACGGGCTGGTCTCGAGGGCTCGATTCCTTCCGGAATCAAGAAGCTGAAGCTTCTAGAGACACTAGATATGTCTAATAATGGACTCACGGGAGAAATTCCAGCGGTTCTTGGAGGTCTTCCTCAACTGAAGTATATTGACCTTTCAATAAACGTTTACCAAGGCCACATCCACAGGTTCCTTGACGCCTTCTCCAAAAACAAAGAAAATAAATTGGTCTATCTCAATCTTCGTTTCAACAAGTTAAATGGAACATTGCCTGAATCGCTTGGAACGTTGAGGAATCTACAGACTCTGGATCTTTCAACCAATTCCTTCTCGGGTTCGCTTCCTTCCTCGGTGGGAAATATGTCGTCACTGAAGAAACTTGATATTTCTTTCAATGCCATGAACGGGACGATCGCTGAAAGCTTTGGGAAGCTTGAGGAGCTTGTGGAACTATACTTGATGGAGAACCAGTGGAACGGTGTTCTACTAAAGTCTCATTTCGTCAATCTTAGAAGCTTGAAAATCATTCATCTCACAACTGATCCAAACAGATCTCTCGTCATCAATCTGCCATCTACATGGGTTCCTCCTTTCAGACTGAAGCAGATAAACATCGAGAACTGCAAGATCGGCCCTACGTTTCCAATGTGGCTTCAAGTACAAAACAAACTCAACTCCGTCACACTCAGGAACACTGGAATTGCGGATAAAATACCCCACAGCTGGTTCTCAGGAATAGCTTCTCATGTAACTGAACTGATTCTAGAAAACAACAGAATCAAAGGTACATTACCTCAAAATCTGTTCTTCCCAAAGTTAAACACCATTGATTTGAGCTCCAACAACTTTGAAGGCCCTTTCCCATGCTGGACAACAAACGCAACACAGCTGTATCTTTACCAGAACAACTTCTCGGGTTCTCTTCCACTTAACATTGATGCTTTGATGCCAAGTTTGGAAAGGATGTACCTCTTTCATAACAGCTTCACCGGAGAAATCCCATCGTCTCTATGTGAAGTCACCGGACTGCACATCCTCAATCTAAGAAACAACCGTTTCTCTGGTAGTTTCCCAAATTGCTGGCAAATTTCATCCCAGCTTAATGGAATTGACGCGTCTGAGAATAGCATATCAGGCAAAATACCAGAGTCTCTATGTGAGATGCCTTCTCTCAATGTCTTGCTTCTGAACCAGAATGTATTGGAAGGTAATATCCCAGACAAGTTTCAGAACTGCTCTAGCCTCACACACATTGATCTTGGAGGAAACAAGCTTACTGGGAAACTTCCATCGTGGCTTAGTAAGGTGCTTCCTTTGTCCATGCTTCGTCTGCAAAATAACTTCTTTGATGGTCAAATCCCAGATGATCTCTGCAACGTCCAGATGCTACACATTTTGGATCTCTCAGAAAACAAACTATCGGGTCCGATTCCTAAATGCATCAGCAGTCTTATAGCCATTGCGCAAGGGCAAAGCTCCGAGGGGTTTCAGAAGATTGTCTCCAGAGTTACAAGAACTAGTAAATACCAAGAGATGCTCGATAGCATAAATCTTTCTGGAAACAACATAACCGGAGAAATACCAGTGGAGATCTTTGACCTCTCTTACCTTAGAATCCTAAATTTATCAAGAAACTCCATCGCAGGAAGCATTCCCGGGAATATTTCAAAACTTGGTCACTTGGAGACGCTTGATCTATCAAGTAACAGGTTTTCTGGTGTAATTCCTCATGGCTTGGCAGAAATATCTTCTCTGCATACGCTGAATCTTTCGTACAATAAACTGGAGGGGAGCATACCTAAGCGTCTCAAGTTTGAAGATCCCTCCATTTACATTGGAAATGAGTTACTCTGTGGGAAACAACTTCCTAAAAAGTGTCCAAGGAAGCAGCAAAATGCTGTACTTATTAATTAAGCATAAGGTGATAAGACGATGTACTTGTTTACTCCCCCGTATTAATAATAGAGTTATCAGCTCTACACTGACGATGTTATAACGACTTACAAGAGGTAGTTATGTCTGCTTGAGTCACTACCTCTAACTTCTACAAAAAGTACTCTTTTAACTGTATTCATCAAAAAAAAAAAACTTTCTGCATTAGCAGATACATGTTATCAACACATAGTACACACATTATTTTTGAAAAACAGCTAGGCATAGACTAATGAAAACATAGCATCCATACACCACAATTTTCAGCAAAGGTGTTTCTCCATTACACAGTGACAGCAACATTACTTTCAGAAGCATCACTTGAAAAATCGAACCAACCAATTGATCAGCCCATGGAAGAACCGCAGAAGGAAGATTCAATCTCTCATCAAGAAGAAACAGTTCCGTGGGAAGAGAGATAGGTTTGATCTCCCACACTGTGATCTGCGTCTGTAGAGTAAACAACGACGCTACTCGAAACTCGACGTTTCAAGGTTTGAAGATCCCTCCATTTACGCTGGAAATGAGTTACTATGTGGGAAACCACTTCCTAAAAAGTGTCCAAGGAAGCAGCGGAATGTTATTGTTAATTAAAGTGCTAAGAAAGTGTACTTGTTTACTTTTCAAATATTAATAATAAAGTTATAAGCTCTACGCTGACAATGTTGTAACCACATAGAGGAGGTACTTCCCTCATTGTAGTCACCAAGAAAAACCTATTTCATAAGCAGGTTCATGGCATCAACGCACACTACTTTTAGAAGCATTAGTGGCAAAATCCAACCAACCAATCCTATTCCAAACATCCAATTACAAGCTTCTGGGGGTAGACTTAAATAAGACATTGAACAACATTGCACACATTCAACAAGAGAATGGGCTAACAATAAGACATAAAATTGTGTTGAATTCACGGAAAGTCAAGTTCTTGAAGGAACCTGACAACATAGGGAGGCAAATGACATGAAAGTATGTTAAAGAATAATATGTAAACTAGGATAAGACCCGCGCCTTGCGCGGAATGAAGCTATTATTTTTATTATGTTTTTAAAAATGAAACAATAGTTCGGTTTCATTCGGATTAGAGGTGTTCAATCCGGATATCGGATTTCGGTTCGGCTCGATTTTTTGGTATTTCGATCATTAAAATATAACTACTATTCTAAATCTATATGTACTTCAGTTTGATTT